CCCTGAAAATGGAGGCGATATGTTCCTCCGAAACGTCTCTTTTTACTATGTCTACACGGTGCCACATCCCAGAAGACGGAATTCTTCAATCCAAGGAAAATCTAAAGGAAATAAAAGCAAGGAAGCAAGGAAAAGGGGAAGAAATGAGAAAATAGTTTTCGGAGGGAAGCGCCTGAAGTTAGGCCACAGAAACTACAGAGTCGATGTGGTCCTGGTTATAAATATCTCGTTAATATGCTGCACAGAAGCTGAGTTATGATGTACTGTTTCTAGCCCCTTGGGTCCCGTCTTTCAATCGATTACAAGCCAGCCGCTACTACATCCGACCTAAGAAACAACACACACGATTACATGTTTGTTCCTATTATACACGGACGGCCGAAATCATGCGCGTTACGTTTCATTGCTATCTGACCCGGAAAGGCTGCATTGCACGGGTGCAGTTACCGATCTGCGCACACTTTTGCTCTGAATTAACGAATTCCTCGGTAAGATTGTGCCGTTAATTAGAGATTACTGGTTTGGCGACTGTGGACAGTCTAAAATTTCTCCTGTTACGTGTTCCATAGACTTTCTAGAGCAAGACACGCAGCACAACACGTAAGAAGAGAGAACACAACCCACCAACTGAAACACGCATGCCCATTGAGAACCTATATATATTTAACAATATGAGCAACACCAGACGCAGCAATTTCGCCAAAAATTTAACACCTGACGATGACACAGTGATCGAAACTTTTAAACTTTTAAAGTTACAATATTTTATAGGGCTTAGTTTTGCACGTGAGACTGTAATTAATCGACACCAAGTTCTATAGACCTTGTATCGTGGTAGCTGTCGGCAACCAGCAACTCAAGGTGTTGTATGCAATTTCGACAGTGAGTTCTTACAGGACCAGCGCTCGTTTTTGAGAATCCTACCAAAGCCGACAGCCTTTCCAGTTTATCTAATACCATCATTTTTTGTTTAATTGCATTAAAATTTCACATCACGGTAGTAAATATTGAAGTTTCCATTACAGAATTTTTGTCCATACTTTATGACTTTGATTCAAATTGTGCCTGTTCTTCCAGTTTCTGCTGTATTCTTGGGCGTCTTAAAGTGTTGTAGGTTCATTGGAAAGGTAGTTTTTTCTTAGTTTCTTTTGGTGCGTTGAGACTGAGTCAACTTGTTACGTCGGCCATTAATTGGCCTACTGTAACCAATCCAGAACGATGATGATGATGATGATGAATGTGGAGCAGTCAGTGGAATGAGAATTGGCAGAGGAAACCTTAAAATGCGTAACTTGTAAATACATGTGTTTTTAACGAAAAATTTTTGGAAATTGAAAGCATATTTTTGCAATCTTTAAAGAATAGATGCATGAATATTTTGTGGGTTTTATTGAATACAACTGCAACGTCTTCTAACCACTACCGTCACCTGACTAATTTTGTCGTGTTGAACTTTTGCTCTTATTGTATTGCTCTCAGTTACTCAAGTTCTCTCACAGTGAAATTAACTACTCTTGGTTGTTAGCTACAGGTCAAGGTGACAAACCAGCTTTTATCGGTTCCTTAAGGTTAATTAGTTAATCTGGGTTGTAAATATACGTACGTGTAATTTTGACTTGTCATTATTGAAATTAAATCCAGGATTGCCATGGCAAAAGCTGCATTTAGCAAGAAGAAGAATCTTTTTACCAGCAAATTGGACTTAAATTTGAGGAAGAAACTAGTGAAATGCTACATTTGGAGCATAGCTCTGTATGGGGCTGAAACATGGACACTTAGGGCAGTAGATCAGAAACATCTGGAAAGTTTCGAAATGTGGTGTTGGAGAAGGATGGAGAAGATCAGTTGGACCGATTATGTGAGAAATGAAGAAGTGTTAATTAGAGTCAGTGAGCAGAGGAATATCCTACACGAAATAAGAAAACGGAAGGCTAATTGGATTGGTCATGTTTTACGCAGAAACTGCCTTCTAAAAGAAGTTATCGAAGGAAAGATAGAGGGGTGGATAGAAGTGACAAGAAGACGAGGAAGAAGACGTAAGAAGATGGTGGATGACCTTGGGGACAGAAGAGGATAATGTTATTTGAAGGAGAAAGCTTTAGATCGCGTTAAATGGAGGAATTGTTTTGGAAGAGACTGTGGACCTGTCGTCTTGACAGATTACTGATGATGACGATTATTATTACAAAGTTGCTGGCTTCGTTTTTTACTTAAATGGCTAAAGATTTGGGGTCTACTTCAAGGGACACGCCTGATCTGTGTGTTACACCTGAAGAATCAAGCCACACTCAGCATAAGGAATATATTCTTAGGCACTTCGGATTTTCAAATTTCAAAATTCAGGAATCCTCTTATGATTTGTTCTTGAAAAATGCTAGACCATAATTGTCCTCAATGATGTAACATATCTCTCAATGTACTTAGTGGTCAAAATTTAGTAAATTAGTACATGTATCTTATTAAGAAATTTTGAGTTACGCTTTTTCTGAACAAGGTAACGGAATGAGAAGTTCACACGAAAAATCTCAAGGTGAAACCCTTTATTTGTGCCCGCAAACTCCTTTGTGTATACGTAGGGGAAAAAACATTAATTAATTCGTTAACCCGAAAACAATAAAATAATTTATAAGTTCAGGACGTCCCGGTTTGTCGGTTGGCGCATAAGGCTGACATCCTTACCGCCATCTGTGAGCCGACTGTCTAGAGAAAATGTGGAAGCCTCAACCTCTCACATCCTTTTGGGCCTTCACAGCCTGTTACTGGGACATGTTTACCTTTTTACGTCCCAGTATATAGAGCTCAGTTCTCGCCTTAAGGCAGGAAGGTTGCCTTCTGAATTTCCGGCTGGATAATTTCTCCATTAACATTTGGCGAAACAAAACGGGATATTGTTATAAAAAGAGACTGACACTGCTTGACGTTGAACCAAGGAAAGCACATGAAAGCACAGATTCAAAATACCGGTTCACCCATTAACCCTTTAAAACACAGCGGTTGTTTTATATCTCTGTGCCTTGACAGCAGAAACCCGTGTTTTGCCCACACAGTCTACACGTACATATTCTATCTTCATGATAAACACCGATAATTTCTCTAAACAGCTTCAACTGACGGAGGAACTGAATTTTGAAATATTCATTTCAAGAAAGTCAAGTTTCTCTCAGTGGTTCACGAAAATTTATATCTAACGTGAAACAATTAATTCTTTCACCCAGGTTACTGAACACTGCTCAGGTCCTGAACACTTTCCATGCTCTGAACTGACGTGGCAGGCCATTGGCTCGATATGTAGGCAAAATTTGTTACCTCTCTCCCTTTCTCTCTCTGTCTTCCGTGAGGAAGGGGCCGAATTTGTGAACATTATTTAAGACAGACTCCTGCTTCAGAGGGTTAGACATAACTTCGTTTTCTTTGCGCGCAGTGTATTCGTCGAAACAACTAAAATTGTAACAAATCCATTAATTTTAAGTAAATGGAATACAGGATGTAACAACGATATCTTATATATGAAATCGTGCTGTGGAGTTTGACATGAGATTAGTGGTCTGTTAATTACAGCAAAATCTCTGTGCTGGTACAAGCTGTGACAGGTAATTTCATAATACAAATTTTTCTGCCAAATGTCGTTGAAAAATATGGCCATGACTTTCGTTTCCATCTGTATTTGGCATCATAATTGAAACAGATGATGCGTGGCCTTCATGTATCAGTTCTGTGAATCTGATAACTACTGTTCTGACGAGCACAGTTGGTCCAGTTCTCTCTCATTTTGCTCCTGTGTAAGTCAATGTTTAAACCGAATTAACACATTTTATTTGCAGTTTACTTAACTATACTGTCGCTTACTCACATTATGTAACGTCGAATGAAAGGAAAGTATATGGAAGGAAGCAGTCATGTTCTAATTAAGGAAATCTCCCGGTACTTTCCTGGAAAGAATGAGGAAAACCATAAAAAACTTCCATCAAGGTAATCGGTGTCCCTTTCAAGCCTCGACCCAGGCTCCTCCAGCATACAACCCAGAAGAGTTGCTACTCGAGCCAGCTACAAACGAAAATAGTATCATATTCAGCCAGGCCTTCAAAGATTTCTGAATTTTGTTTGATTGTCATATTTTCTTTGGTAGCGACTCTAAATCAATTCCTTCCATACCCTTATTATCATTATTAAGTGGAGCATGCCCACACAGGGTTATGCTCAAACATTCCGAGAGAAAACAGGAACGGAGCACTTTTTATTAAACTGTTTATTTTTGTCTGTTTTATGATATTTTCCTTTCCTCTCTCTGTATTTTGGAACTCATATTATTATCACGTGTACTAGTGACTAATAACGCGGGGCCTGGATTGGATGAACGGGTTTATTTACTCCTGATTCACACGAATATTAATTACACGTAATTATAGCGCTGTCGCTATTTACACTCTTTCCAGTCCACCGTTGCACGCACACAAGTGTTCTCAGTCTTTACTAGTCATATCCTGGCAACGGATTTGTAAGTTTCACTGCCACTGCAGCACACATGAAGTCTACTTTCACAGCCTAATTCTTTTCTTATCATATCTTCTCGATCATCGTCGACTGCCGACTCTAGAAACTCCTTCAGTCATGACAATTACTTATTAATTTCGCACACAGGCTAGTCAAAGTACACGTGGAAGAAATTTAATTCTAAATAGTTATTTGGTAGAAAACGGAAGAAAGCAAAACTATTGATTTGCGGATGTATTTGGGGACAGGGATATTAAAAATTTGTGGATACTGGTTTTAAACTCCTCGCCATATCTAACAGCTAAATATAAAGTAGAACTTACTAGCACCATGGAGCAGTTTAGCTTTTATGGAGCATTTCTTTATGTCTACTACAGCGTCTTGTGTTCTACATTAAAGAACGAACGTGAGTCTGAGTGCTGGCAGTGCGGCCACCACACTCACAGTGGACCACGCTCTGAAGCGGCACTCTGGCAATTACGTAAATGGTTTCCTTCTTTACGTTACAGTATGAACGTGAGTCTGAGTGCTGGCAGTGTGGCCACCACACTCACAGTGGACCACGCTCTGAAGCAGCACTCTGGCAACTACACATGTGCAGTTGGAAGTCTCGCTTCAGCTACTGTTGCCGTGCACATACTCAATGGTAAGTCAGCTTCATATAATTAAGGAAAGTAAATTTGTCTCTGCGTTTAATTAATTGAGCACCATGCCGTGAAGACGTATGAGGGAGTATAGATATAACTCCATGCATACTTCATCACGTCACTAAATAGAAACCATTGTCTCGCTTTTTTATCACTTGGGAAAGAACCTTCGGTACCCATTCGATAGCAGAATCTAACCTCAATTGTCCGCCTCTAGTCCGTAGCTCCTCGCTATACCGGAACTACACTTTGAGTAAATATTATCTGTGTGAATGTAACCTTCTGCAATATGCCTGGGCCGTTATTGTGTGCTATTTACGTAAGATTTACAAAACAAATACAATATGGATGGCTTGATGAATCCAAGAGTAGCTGTGAAATCAAAGACTGTAATCAGGAACTAACTGATCTCTATCGAATCATCTGCACTATATACGATGTCGATATAAACTGTATATTTTGTAACTGTTACCCTTCCAGATGCAAGGAAGCCTACACTTCTGCCTCATGTGAGGAACACTGTTCGACATTGCTTTAATTCATTGCAGATTTATCAGTTCGTCCGCTTCTGCTTCCTAAGGAAACTGAATTCAGATTTCCCGAACTAACCGAACAATGGTCTAAGGTTACTTCAGGGTCCTGTAACTGTTTACTTAAAGTCCACCCTTCACCTCCGGGAATCACACGATTTTCCAGTGCTTATGTTACCCATTAAATCTGGAGTCAGACGCTTGTGAAGACGACAATGAACTTTGGGGTCTCATAAATAAAACGGTAAACTTCTTGGCAACTGAGTGATTATCAACCTCACAGAACGGTCTCTGGCCCAAGGATTTGGGGGCCTGAATAGTATAGTTGTTATTTAAATCATTAGTTCAGCATAGTACGTACTGAGGTAGTTGAAAAAATACGTTAAAAGTACATTAAAACTTTCCATTTATCAGAGCTAGACTGTTTATGTCTGTTCCAGGACTAAAGGGAGTGTAAAAAGTTGTAATAGGTGTATCAGTCACTTTGTATCCCCTCTTCCTTCAGCCCCACATCAATTAGGATGCAGCCTGTTCCGACTTCTTAATCATTTTAATTGTTCTTCCTATATCTAGGCCGATATATTGCTCTGATTTTGTGAAGAAGTGCGTCTGTAATCTGCTGCTGGTCATTCTATTAAGGTGAGGTAATTGTAAAAAAAAAAAGGTAAAGCTATTCCTGTAACAGGCCGTGGAGGCCCATATTGTTGTGAGACGTCGAAGCTCCCACATTTTCTAGATGATCAGCTCACATATGGAGGTGAAGTTGCCAGTCTTATGCGCCGGCCGTACCTTTAAGCCCAGGAAGATTCCTGGTACTCATTTCTGTTAGGGGCTGAGTCGACCTCAGGGCCATAGTGCGGCTGGAAGGATTTTGTCTGCTGAAAAATCCAGGGACCAAGGTGAGTTGATGGTGTAATTTACTTGCGATGGCGTGTATCAGTTCTTGGTTTTGTTTCGTCTCGTATATCCATAGTTACTTCTTGATAATCCCATTTGCGGCCACTTGCATTTCAGTGGCATTTATGTTCCTCTTGACCCAAGTTTCAGTTCCATGCTATAAATTGGTAAAATTACAACTTCCTCAATTGGCTTCTTGATGTTCAGTTTATTGTCCATCACACTGTTTACTACTGCTGCCACTTACCGCAACACAGTCTTATTCAGGCATATTTAGGACCCTGTAGCGAATAACAAACGTAGCAGTTTCAGTCCTCTCGGCCTATTTAAGCTATCCCAGTAAAATGAACCTGGTAGCGTAAAAGTGCCAATCAACACAGAACATGCACTAACACTAAGCATGACTGTGCCTGATTCTATTAGTTTCGTCATAACATTTTCAGAAACAGCTTCTGACCTACCTGACCGTTTCAGTGAAATTCGGAACTGTGGACCAGACCTAAACTTTATGGAGTTAAACGTGATAAATGAACTTCACCTGCATCTTCTCAGGAAACTGATTTTGACATGACTCTATATATGACAATAATATTTCAATGCAATGACTTCAAAGCTATAAGTACAAATTATTTTATATAGCTAAACTTTCATTGCATTATTTCGTTTAGCACAGCGTTAAATTTATTTTATTATATCGGCAATGTACCTTGAAGTTAGGCCCACGAATGTTTAACATGAGGGTTGAGATATCGCACTGCGCGGGTATCAAAAAGATTAACTTAATGTAGATCGCATCACAATTCTTGTACAGACTCTTAGGGGCTACTTTTGCATCACTGAAAACCTGAAGAATACACAGTAAATTCATCCGAAATAAATTTTAACACTTCTATAAGATTCAACTACAGAGGAATGAATAGTTTTCTTTTTCGGCCTGCGAACGAATGTGAAACTAAGCGTAAATCTCAAATATTAAATTTAATGTTAAAAAATGGTTTAGACTGCCGGATTACATAGCGCGAGTGGAGAAAGTGAACTTGGAATTGGACGATGCAAATCCTGAAGGCGGTAACATAGATTAAAAACTTGAGTACGATGCTAAATGAATGATGCCAAGGTCTATATAAAAAGTTTCAGTGAAAAAACGTGAATATTATGTGTAGATAAGAAAGGCAGTTTAAAACAAGTGTTGCGCGGGATAACATCAGGATGAGTAGGGGAAATTTTGGAAAATAGAAGGAAAGTCACAAATATTTACGGATTATGCGCTCTATAGCACAGTAATGCAGAACATGCAAACATCGCTTATGAAAATCGTACAGTCATTGTTTCACTTCCGGATCCGCCATATTTGAACATTTTTTTAGACCTCCGAATTTTCCGTCTCCTCTGCAGTAAGATCTGTCGGATTTCAGAGGATTTTAATTTCGGGTTATCTTATTACATTTTGTACCGCAAACTGTAGAGGGTTATATTTCGACACGTTGACACGCATACACATCGTACCACATCGGATAGATAAATTTCTCTCGTTCCTGAAAGAACTGTTGCAACATCGCTTTGGCAAGAGTCAGTGAAATATTAAAAAGTGTAAAATTGGCTGCAGTGTGTTGCAACTGGAGAGCAAATGTTACGTTTATAAAAATTACGTTGATTTTAACTAAAATATTAACATACGAAAATAACAGTAAAGATGTACTTAAGTTTGGGAGGGTGGTGAAGGAGAAAAGGATGTAAATGATGATGATTATGATGTTGTGGTGATGAATGAGAAGCCAATTATAACTTCCGCAGTAATCAGGTAACCAGGAAGTATGGTTGCAGTGGCATAACCAAGACCAAACCGGAAATTATATCAACAGGTGAGTTCAAGCCACTGGAGTGTAGAGCGCGAGATGGGATTTCTCTTTGTCTGATTCATTACCGCATGTATCACTGGGGGACTTGATCATGCGCTCTGCGAGAATGAGAAAATCAGGTAACCAACTGCGGGGGTGGGGATGCATGCACCTGGTAGCCTCCCCATTTTTAGTAGTTCATCAGGATTCATATTGCCCCCATAAAAATGTAGAACGGCCAAACCACGAAGTTCTTGCAGTTTTCAGATCCCTGGTGTTCACGTATAATGGGGGACAATTAATCTAACCCGATCTTGTTATTATATTCAATAGTATGAAGTGAAAATAAGGAAAGTAGGCTAACAAGAAGTTCTGTGAAGAACTAATCGCCTATTTTCCTTTTATATGACACAGACAACACAGAAAACAATGCCTCCGAAAAGTCTTTATTTCCATGCAGACGTCTTTACCGAGTTGTTACCTAACAACGATAAAGAGACACACAGACAGACTCACAGACACACGAGTCCAACAATTATTCTGTTTCCAAGTGCATTCGTTACCACGGTAACGTGTTTACATAACTGTTGCTTAGCAACCAAAGCAGGGATACACATACAGACGCACAGATTGATGTGAGGGATTTACGAATTACGCCGTTGAGACGGGCTCAGATGTCATGATATACATACAAAGTTTCATAAAGATTGGTTACGGTATTCAGAAGTTGGGATCTACAGACACACAGACAACATGAAGCTCGCATAAGCTCACTTTAATTTTTTTCAAAAACACAAGGGGCTTGCATATGGAAAGGGTGAGCCGCTGCAATGTAAACCACCGAAGTATAATATATTGCTTATACTCGTACAAGTACACCTTATGAGGTGGAATTGGGAGTTTTATATAATTACCATTTTTAATGATGTTTAATTGATTTTAAATTGAGTGAACTGTAACATGTGAGACTGTAACTGTAACATTATAATGTACAAGAGCTGAGTGCAGTTGTAACAATTTAATTACGAAATTTTCAGTTACGCGCGTGTGCAATGGACAATACTCAGTGTGATGTAGCAGGTTTGGCATAATGGGACACCTGAGGATGGCCGTTTGGGGCGAAACATGTTGTGTTAATAGCTAAAGCAGATGTGAATGAACAAATAAATGGTTGCATTATTGACGGAAAATTGTATGTAAAGAAGGGAATATAGTAATGCAACAGGATACTTAAATACAAGATTGTAAGGAAATTAGACTAAAATGCTGCTAGACTCTGCTGAGTCATCTAGTTCTTTAGGACTACAACAGGAACCATTTGTGAGGACTGAGATCAAATTAGCGGCCAGAGGCGTGTAAATATTCGTGTGTCCATAGGAATGGTCCGTTTTCTGATTTGACTTCCCCCTCATGAAGGGGCTGCAGGGGGAGACCTGATGATGCATAGCAACCGAAGAACAACTTCCCTATTTTCAGGCTTCAGAGACCGAGTGGCTACAACATTCCAATTGGAGATATTCTCGAGCCAGGGCAGGATAAATCTTAAACACGGGTAGTGGCAGGTACCGAAGAGTTTTTTTCCATTATTTTTAATTCTAGTGGGGTGGGACTAAGTCCCTTGTACTGCGGCCACTTCTGGCCTATTGTACCAGCCCCAGATGATAGGTGAGGGTGATTGTGGAGCAATTGGTGGAATGAAGATTGGCAGGGGAAACGGAAATACTCAGAGAAAAC